AAACCTGGAGAAAGTTACTTAAAGATTACGAGCACAAGCATATAGTGGATTATTTGGATTTTGGTTGGCCCATCAACGTTCAGGAAGAACTCTATAGTCCGCCTGCAGTTTTGTATCCTAAGAATCATAAGTCTGCTACAACGTATTCTTCACATGTTGATCATTTTCTTTCTGAAGAGCGTCGCCTAGGTGCCATAGTGGGACCGTTTCCAAAGAACCCTTTTTCGTCCCCAGTGGTTTCTTTACCATTACAAACAGTGGAGAAACGGAACAGTGATAAGAGGAGAGTAGTAGTGGACTGTAGTTTCCCATGTGGCCATGCATTGAATGAAGCAGTACCTAAGGATACTTATCTGGGAGACACGGTACAGTTGTCTTACCCATCAGTCGACACAATGACTCAAATGATTTTGAATAAGGGACCAGGTTGTTTGTTATATAAGACAGATTTAAGGAGAGCATACCGGCAGTTGCCAGTGGACCCTAAGGACTACAAATATCTATTGTACAATTGGAGAGGTGATTTCTATGTGGACACTAGATTAGTATTTGGACTCAGATCATCAGCATACATTTGCCAAACAACGACTTCAGCCGTCACTTATATTCAGCGGGAGAAAGGTTATGATGTGTGTAATTACTTAGATGATTTCGGAGGAGCAGAAACTCCATCTTTAGCTGATGCAGCGTTCGCAGATTTACAGAACACTTTGGGCAGTCTTGGCTTGGAAGAAGCTCCAGAGAAGGCAGTGCGCCCTACTACGTGTATGACATTTTTAGGAATCGATTTCGATACAGTGTCTATGACTAGACGCGTTCCACAGTTCCGGTTAGAAGAGATTAGACTGCTTGTTAGCGCGTGGCTGGACAAGAAGAAGGCCACTAGACGCGAACTCCAGTCCCTGATCGGTAAGCTCGTTTTTGTCTCATCCTGTGTGCCTCCTGGACGACTGTTTATATCACGTATGTTGGAGGCATTGCGTTCACTACGACGGAACCACCATAGACTTCGCTTGTCACGGGATTCCAGATTGGATCTAAAGTGGTGGCAGCGGTTTATGGATTCATACAACGGTGTATCGATGATGGTTCCAGACATTTGCAGCGACCCTGACGAGTTGGTTATGACAGATGCCTGTGCCACGGGGTGCGGCGGTTTCTCCAACGGTCAGTTCTTCCATTGCGAGTTTCCCGAGCAGACTTTGGAACAGTTTGGATCAAAGATACACGTGCTTGAAATGTTAACAATTGTAGTCGCGGCACGGAAGTGGGCACCCCAATGGTTTGGACAGCGAATTTTGGTACACTGCGACAACATGGCATGTGTGCACGTATTAAACTCCGGCCGTGCTCGTGATCGGGAACTGTTGCAGTGTGCGAGGGAATTATGGCTGTTGGCTGCCACATTTGAGTTCCAGGTGAAGGCCACACACATTCAAGGTTCCCACAATCGGATTGCAGATCATCTTTCGCGATGGCACATGTCAACGTATCACTCTCAGCAGTTCAAGAGTCTCACACGGCACCAGACCACTTGTGAGATTCCGGTATTCCAGGAAGACTTTATCTTGGAGTGCCCTTATTGACTGTATGATAAGGTTCTAATGCATTTGTTCTGTTCTGTTTGTTTGTTTGTTTCAGCCAGCAAAGACCTTACATTACTGCGAGACCGAGTGCGTCAGACTAAACGGGCAGCCTTTGCTGAAGGAACTTGGGGGAACTTGAGAACACATTTACGAACCTACATGCTGTTCTGTTCGTTCTACGGTTTACCGCCCTTTCCGTCAACAGTAGACACCCTGGAGACTTATGCTGAGTTTCTCAGTCGTTCCTTTCGGGCGCCAGCATCAATTGCAAACTATATCAGTGGTATTAAAACCTTTCACATTCTGTTCGGACTAGACACCGCGGCTTTCTCGTCTATGGATCTAGCCCTAGTGCTACGTGGACTGAAGAAACAAATGGGACATACGCCACGTCAAAAGCTGCCATTCACCCCAGAAGTCTTACTCAAGATCCATGAACAGTTAGATACCTCGGACTCGTTTCAGGCAACCATATGGACAGTGATTCTTTTAAGTTTCTTCACATTTCAGAGAAAATCTAACTTTGTGTCTAAGCATGAGTTCGATCCGGCTAAACAGTTCACTATGCATTATATTTTGCTGTACATAGAGGAGTTTTGCTGATCAGAATTAGATGGTCTAAGACATTACAGTGTGCTGAGAGAGTATTGTACGTTCCCGTGATGGAGATCAAGAATTCTCCTCTTTGTCCTGTATCGGCATACTGTAATATGGTTAAGTTGAATCGCAATTTTGATACTATCGCAGCTTTTACGAGACCACATAGATCCGGATTTGTACCTTTGACTCAGAGCGTTTTCGATAAGGCTTTCAAGCAGATCCTGATTAGAGCAGGTTTAAGCCCAGCTAGATACTCACTACATAGTGGACGTAGAGGTGGTGCCACCTTTGCCTTTCGTTCAGGTGTTCCTATTGACTTGATTCGCCTTCAGGGTGACTGGCGTTCGGACGCCTACTTGCTGTATCTGAAAGTTCCCTTAGCTACCCGGTTAAGTCTAATAGTATGTTCCAGAATGGTGACTAGCATTCGTAAGATGGCTTTGTAGTACTAGTATCTTACACCACATCGTAGACTAATAATCGATGGTTTTGTTAGGAGGAGACAATGTCATTGTTACAAGTTGACCTATGTGTTTAGGTCCCGTTAGTTTGTTGCGCATGTTCTTATATGATTCCCTATTAGTGAACTATTGTAAGAAGTAATGATGGTTGTTAGCCTGAATAGTTCGACAGCAGTTATACTGTTATAAGTTGTAACAGTTGTATATTTTTGAATTGTTGTTATATTGTTCCTTCCTGGGTTGGTAACCCCAAAGCAATGTTCAAGTATGATATCATATGAAGCTAAAGAGAAAGAAAAGGAGTAGGTGGTGGTTTTCTAAATTTAAAATAACTATGTTTTGCAGTTTGGCCGTTCCTTTGGTGTTTGTTTTGGAAAAGTCACAAATTAAAGCTTTTCCCTTTTTCCGGCCAAACTGTGTCTGATTTGTCTTATGTTCCCCGAGTTTTTGTAGGATAATTTATATAAATGACATTGTCAATAACTTAAATTCTTTACCCTTTTTATTTGCTGATGATACCTCCCTGCTTGACGTAGTTGATGACCCGACCGCATCTGCATATAGGCTTAACTCTGATTTGAGTAAAATTCTGTCTTGGTCCAAAAATGGCTAATGGAACTAAATCCATCTAAAACTGAAGAGATGTCATTTTCTACTAAAAGATCCCCTATCACCCACCCTCCTCTTTATCTTGGGTCGTCTAAAATTAATTGTGTCCCACACCATAAACATATTGGAGTTATATTGACCACCAATATGTCTTGGCACAGCCATATTATTCAGATGTTAGCCAAAATATCCAAACAGGTCACTGTACTTCGTGGTTTAAAGTTTAAATTACCTCGCAATGTTTTAGAAACCATCTATAAATCATTTGTCCGTCCCTGTTTGGAGTATGCAGATGTGATCTGGCATGGCTGTACTGCTGAAGACTCCGCTCATGTTGAAAGAATCCAATATGAATGTTCTCTTATCGTCTCAGGAGCAGTTAAAGGCTCTTCTTATTTATCTGTTTGTCAAGAACTGGGTTAGGAGTCTCTTTCTAGCAGACTGCATTTTCATCGCTTATTTTTATTTCATAAAATAGTCAATGGCCTAACACGGAAATATCTTTTTGACTTAATCCCC